AGAGAAAACAGTGCAACAATGAATGAATGAGAACTCAAAATCTCTGTAAATATTCATTAAAACTAATAAAATTTAATAATAATTTAAAAAAATATGCAGGGTGGCTCTAGCTGTCATTGTGGCATCATGTTTAAATAAACAATCTTTGGAAAAGCAAGGCCATATAAAAATTAAAAACACTTTTTACTTATTAGGAGAAATACGGAAAATTAGGGTTATGACTCTTTGTTGGGTTTTCAAAAAAATTTTATTTTATTATTTTTGTGTTTGTGTACCGTCAAATCGCATCTGACTGGTACAGGAGGAGTTTGCCCTCCTTCTCCAGCAGAACATCTGGTGGATTCGAACCGCGTGCCTCTGGGATTGCAGTGCAGCTTCTTGCCACTAGGCCACCAGAGCTCCCTCGAGTCTGTTTTACATTATGATAAAAATACTAGACATTTTTTAAATGCTTTCATTTCTTTATTTATAAGATGATTTATTTCTTTAAAGAACTTCAACTTTTTTGCTGCTGTATTAAATGCATTCAAGGGCAACAACTAAGATACTTTCCCCAATATACTTTTCCCCATAACAGTGCTATGATATAATAAGTTTTCAATAAATAAAGCCAAATAGTCATGTACAGAAGTAATAAGTAATTGAAGAATAATGACATTTATTACTTACCTTTCCAGAAACAATCTTTTCATAAATCTGAATTGGTTGGTCTGCAAAGAACGGAGGGTAGCCAGCTGCCATTTCATAGATTAACACTCCTAATGCCCACCAATCCACTGCCTTATTGTAGCCCTAAAATAAACCAACACCGAATGCCAATCATTAGTTCATTTACTAGGAAAAAATGCAGCCATAGATGGTTTAAAATTAATTTTCAGGCATATGAAATATTTTTTAAAAAGCAGTTACTGGGCAGCTATTTAGAAGCGGAAAATATTAAATAAACTGTATTAGAAAAGATATAAATTATACAAAGAGGATAATTCCCATATAGTCGAAAAAGCTATTAGGAGACATTATGAAATCTTTGTTTTACATTCATTAAGAATATAACCAGATGTCTATTTTTTGGAAGACAAATTAGTTGTTGCTCAATAGTAGGAAAGAAGTTGGATGATATTAGCTCTTGATGATCATTATCTAGCCAAGGCTCATAATGTTTAATCATGTTTCCTATAACACACCCTATCTAGAACAGAAGTTTTGAACAGAATGGTAGACATGCGAGTTCACAGCCCAACAGTGAACTGACTTAAAAATATCCTGTTATTGTTAGGTGCTATGGAGTCAACTATGACTCAGTAATACAATGGACAACAGATCTTAATCTTGCCCTACCATGCACCATCCTCACCATCTTTTTCATACTCAAGCCCATCGTAGGAGTCACTTTACTAATCCATCATACTGAGGATCTTTTTTGCTAACCCTCTACTTTTTTCCCCAGCACAATGCCTTTTTGCAAGGACTGGCCCCTTTAGCATGCCCAAAGTACATGAGGCAAAGTCTCACCATCTTTTCTTCTAGAAAGCACTCTGGCTGTCCTTCCTCCAAGACAGGTTTCTTTGTTCTTGTGGCAGTCCATGCTTTATTCAATACTCTTCTCCAACACCACAGTTCAAAGGCACTGATGATTTCTCAGTCTTCCTTACTCATTTTCCAACTTTGAGAGGCAAATGAAAATACTATGGTTCAAGTCAGGTGCACTTAGTTTTAAGTTTTCATCCTTGCTTGCCAGCACTTTAAAGAGGTCTTTGACAGCAGATTTTCCTAACACAACACTTCACTGATTTCTTGACTGCAGCTACCCTGGATGTTGACGGTGGATCCAAGCAAAATGAAATCGTTGATGACAACTTCAATATTTTCTCTATCAATCATGATGCTGCCTTTTGGACCTGTAGTGAGAATTTTTGTTTTCTTGATTTTGAGATGTAACCCACATTGAAAGCTGTGGTCTCTGATATTCTTCAGTAAGTGCTTCAAGGCATCTTCACTTTCAGTGTAATCTGTACAAGGATGTGTAACCTGTACAACGCACATTGTTAACACAGTCTTTCTCATTCCTGCTGCCATATTCTATTTCAGACAGTCTAATTTCTAGGATTATTTGCTCAGGAAATAGACAAATAAATATGATGAAAGGATACAACTCAGACATCCCGCTTCCTTCATTTTAAACCATACAGTGTTCTCCTGTCCTGTTTTGACAATAGCTTCTTGGGGTTCTCTTTTTTCTCAATGTTATCAATAATTTCTTATGATCAAATGCCTTTGCATATAAAACACAAATAAACATCTTTCTGGGCTTCTCTGCTTTCTGTCAAGACCCACCTGATATTCTTATACACTTTTTAATGATAGTCTTCTATAGTAGTCTAAAAATATTCTACACTATTGGAGTGTGAATGTACTCAAAATAATTTTATCCATTTCATAGAATCTTGTTAAAGCTAGAAATATAATGCAGAACTCAATACACTGAACTGCCATTCTTCTCAATGTTAGTCATCATTTGTTTGCATTGGCTTCTCAAGCTGCCCTTTGAAATCTATTCATCTGCTTTACTTTCACATTTCTTTCCTTTGTTTTGGCTTCTCGAGGCTCTAGTGCAATTTTCAGACTGTCTTCTGACATCTACCATATTGGTCTTTTCTTTATCCTCTGTCTCTATAATGACCTTCTGCTTTTTTTTCATGGGTAATAGTCTTGACATTATCCTTCTACTGACCTGGTCTTTGATCATTAGTGATCGTTTCAAACCTATTCTTGAGATGGTTTTTAAATCTATGTAAGTTATTTTTTTATTTTATTATTTTGTATGTGTGTACTGTCAAATCAGATCTGAATGGTACAGGAGGAGATTGCCCCTCCTTCTCCAGCAGAGCGTCTGGTGGATTTGAATTATATACTTCTGGGATTGCAGTGCAGCTTCTTGCCTCTAAGCCACCAGAGCTTCCTTACGTAAGAGATTTAAAGTCATATTTTGGTGAAGTTGATAACTCTTCTGTACTTTTAATTTTCATTTTCTTCAGTTTCAACTTGAACATGCATATGAGTATGTGTTTCAGGTCCTCCTCACTTTCAGAAAGCTAGGTTGCATCGGTTGCAAAATGCAGGCAGTTGATGAGGCTTCCTCTGATCCAATTGTCACACTCTTCAAAAATCAAGTTTCTTTGACCATTCTCTCAGCATACAGAGTAATTAGGTATAGAGAAAAGATATAGCCCTGATGTATAACTTTCTTGACTTTAAACCATGCAGTGTTCCCTTGCTCTGTTGGACAACAGCCTCTTGCTCTAGGTCTAGGTTGCTTTCACCTGAGCACAGTTAAATTGCTGGGATTCCTATTCTTCTCAGTGTTAGCCAAAATATATTATGATCCACATAATCAAACACCTTTGCATACTCAATGAAACACAGATAGACATACTTGTGATAGTCTCTGCTTTCAACTAAAATCTATTTGACATCATCAGTGATATCACTGGAGTCACAGCCTCTTCTAAATAAATACACCTTGAATTTCTGGCTGTTTTCTGCTGACTGACTTTTCCAGGTGTTTCTTAGTAATCTTCAGTAAGATTTTGCTTGCATGTAATATTAATGATATTATTATATAATTCTGATATACTGGATCATCTATTGTATGGCTGGGAACAAATATGAATATTCGAGTCAGTTGGCCAGGTAGGTGCCTTCCAAATTTCTTGGAATGTAAGGCTGGTGAGCATGTTCACAGCTGCATCCATTTGTTGGAAAATGCCAAATGGTATTCCATCAATTCCCAGGGACTTCTATTTTTGCTAGTGTCTTTAGTGCAGCTTGATCTTCCCTTGTTACCACAGGTTCTTAATCATATATTACTTCCTAATCTAGTTTTTTTTCAGTCAATTATTTTTAGTACACTGACTCTGTGTATTCCTTCCATTTTCTTTTGCTGTTTCCTGAGCTGGTCAAGATTTTGCCCATAGCATCCTCCAGTATTGCAACTTGACGCTTGATAGGTGGGTTTGTTTGGGGTTTTTGGTTTTGTTGGGGTTTTTTTTCTTGTTACTTCAGCTTGGGAAATGATAAGAGTGAGTTCTTTTCTCTTGATTTTCTGACTCCTATCCTCTGCACATTTCATTATAATAATTTATCATCTCAAGCTGCTTTTTGCAATCTTCTGTACATCTCTCTTACTTAAGCATTTCTTCTGTTTGTTTTGACTTTTCTAAATTCTCTAAGAATTGTACTAGAACATTTAGAAGCCAAAACAAAGGGAAGAAATTCCTACTAGGCCAACTTGAAAAATTAAATGTATATTTCTTGGACTTAAGTAATAAATTTTTAAAAAAGAGAAGAAAAGTATGTATTGTTGTTTTGCTTTCGGTATTATAGTTAGTCATCCTTGTCTTCCTCTTTTGGAAATATTTAGGGAAAGTCTCTATTTTTGGAATGGAATTAGAAGTCAGACTTATTCAGAGTTGTTAATTCTAACATAATGTCATTATAATTATACCTTGCTGAGGATTATTTCTGGAGCCAAATATTCTGGAGTACCACATAATGTCCAAGTTCTGCCTTTAACTCTTTTGGCAAATCCAAAATCTGTGACCTATAAAAGGGAAAAAAATACTGTTAATTTATTGCTTTAACACTCAAAGTTAAAAATTCAGTGTTAAAATTAAAAACATGCCCTCTTGGACATGTTTAAAAAGGGGGATAAAATGAAGTGAATATAATTGAAATTAATAAATGAAGCTACTATTTATTGAATGAAGGCTAAAACAACACAGGCTTAAAGTCTCTTCCTCTCACTGAAACAACAACAAAAAGCCCCTTTGTAGTCATTACCATAAGATCTCTGATCTAAGGACTAATATAGTAAAAACAAAAAGTAAAAACAGTTTTAATAAAAATGAAAATACTGAGCAGAGTGCTAAGGGTGTGCCTTCAGTTGTTAACCACATCTCTTTTCTGCAAAAGCACCAACTGAAAAATCTGCAGATAGTCTGAAAAGCAATGTTTTCACTTCACCACTAGTGCACATGGAATGAAAATATCACTATCAGTTCAATATACGGTTGATGTTGTTTGGCCACTGTACTGTAACGGCAAAGAACATTCTGACTGTCATTTACTGACTATATGATCTTACAGTTTCACATTAGGCCAGCTTTCCTAGACTTAAAGCAAGGATAACAATAGTACTTACACTTTATGGGGTTATCAAGATTAAGAGATTTAATATATCAGAACGCCTGAAAAATACCTGGTCATAATATGCTCACTTATTTAATAAGTGCTTATAAATGTCATTTTTTAAAGCTTGTGCTTAGTTTACAATAAATGAAATATATATGAATATACAGTGAAGTTCCATCTGTGATAGGATTCATCACAGTTGTTTTTAACGGTGGCAAAACTATGAGTTCAGTTCAAGCCATTAGGAAGAAGCAATAGTTTCAAGCACAATGAGACAAAACAAAACCAACAAAACCAAACCCCCAAAGCTCTCAATTTTGGTTGCTTTTCAAGCATGATGTCCCTTTCCAAGAAACGGCCTCTACTAACAACATGTTCAAAGTATGAGAGATGAATGAATCTTTCCCATATTTGCCTCCAGGAAGCACTCTGGCTATAATTTTCCCAAAATATGTTTGTTCTTTTGGCAGTCCACGGAATAGTATTTTTCTCCACAACTTAAAGGCATCAATTCTTCTTCTGTCATTCTTATTTACTGTCTTGCTCTCAGATGTGCAGCATGTTAATAAAAAGATTCATACCTGGATATAGCCTTGGTGGTCAATTAAGAGATTTTCAGGTTTTAGATCTCTGTAGATGAGGTCTAGTGAGTGAAGGTACTCAAATGTTAGCACTATCTGAGCTGCATAGAACCGTGCGTGGGGTTCACTGCAAAGACAAAACAGTAATTTTCTGTAAAGTAGGTATCATATAGTAAGTAAATACATTATAATATAAAAATCGGCATTTTTCTTTTAAACATATGTAAAAAAATGTTATTCCTTTCAGGCATATTGTAAAGCTCTCAATCATATTTAATGGATTCTTTGAAACATTTAGGAGTAAAACACTTTCAGGAAAAAATAGAAACATAAAAAGGTAGTCTTATATTTGTCTCTCCTTATGTTTGACCTTGAGAGTAACCTAAAGCAAATATGCTAATTTAACACTACTGGGGGATCATTATTACTTTCTTTCTTATACAAATTTCATATCCTTAAGGAATTTCACTGTACAAAAACTCTTTTACTTGATCTGAAGAATAATGTACTTTACAATCCTAATATAGACACACAAACATAATCTTTGTGTACGTATATAAAATTTTTGCATGCACAGATTAGAACAATTGGTACATTAGTGTAATTTTGATGTCATATTCAAAATATTGCTACAGAAGTATGTATTGATTTAAAATTCTATTTCATTTTCTAGTATATATGTCAAATTTTGCTAGTTTATTTGTAAGTTGTAATGACTTTCTGATTTGTGCTACAAATGAAAAAAACCTTAAGAGTAGGAATTCTCTTAAGATGGCTGACATGAGTCTGATCTGACAAGTATCAGAAAAAGAAATTTAAGAAAATTATATACACTATTACTAAAACAATGGCTTTATACAGCATCTAGAGTATCACCTGTGAGTCAGTTCAACTCTACAGCTTGAGGTAGTACAGTTTAAGTTTGAATTAAACACAGTACATATAAAATGTTAGAAAAGGTAGTGTTTCAATGAGAATTATGTTATCAACTTGTTTTTCTCCTACCACCTTGCAAATTACTAAGAAATGTGAGTGCAAGAAATTACAAAGGAAAGAATTCAGTAATTCTGTTGTTGTTGTTGTTATGTGCCGTCGAGTTGTTTCCGACTCATAGCGATCTTATGCACAACAGCCCTAAACCCTGCTCTATCCTGCGCCAACCGCACCGCCTCTGACACA